GTGAGTGCATGGCTATTTTTCTAAATATTTTTTCTGTCTTACTATGTGCCATTCTCCATGCAAGTTGTTTCACATATTTCCTTCACACGTAATATTTTTATGTTTTGTTGTCAAATTAACTAAAGTTCGCCGTATTCTCACTATTTCTCCTTCTTCTTCTTCTTATATTTGTCTTGTGTGTGTGTGTGTGTGTGTGAGGTTTTTCTTTATGGTTGTTTCCAAGTGCTAGAGTGTTAATTTAATCAAGTTTAAGTACACATATGTGCTAAATCCTTACAACAACACATAAAACACACATATATAAATGTGAGTTCATATTTACCTTTTCTTTATGGGAAGAAGTCAGATTTATGTGACTTTTAACTGTTGATATATAACAAAAAAATGAATATATATCTTCACAATTCGGAAGATTAAATCATCCAGTATCCTCAACGTAACGATAGAACTTGCATTTGAAGACTGTGTCCATGTGTAAAAGTCATGCATGTGGAGGGTTTGTAAGCAAATGACACACCATCAACTCGTATTTTTTATTTGTTCCCAAGTGTCATGTCTGTTTTTCCTTTCTTTCGTATGACCAAGTTACTGTCCTAATCAACGCATGCCACATATAATATATGCATATTAATTGCCATGCATATTTCCACCATAGAAAACACTTAAGTCAGGATATGTATGCATGAGTACGTAGGAGTACAGTTGGTTAATGAAGCAGCTCGCCTGTACAACAAATTTTGCTAGTAGCATTTAGCAGCTGAACGTATCAGTACCTAACATGAATTGATAGCTCGTACTAGTCATTAAATCAAATGGAGCACGCATGCATGATAGCAACACCTGATCTGAATTGAATGCGTGTGGAATGGATGTAACGCATGACTTGATGCGCGCACTCCACATGCAGTTAAGCTGGTGATCCCGCGCCGGGAGGCGGCCAACTTCCGGACGATGATCGGGATGATCGACGGGAGGACAGAGCTGAAGCCGGCACCAGCAGCATCTGTCGGCGACATGCGGCAGCTGCAGGTGCTCGACGTTGTGGTCTCCGGCGAGGTGGCGGACCTTGAGAGCGGCGGGTACGTGACGGCTGGGACGCCCCTCGTCCTGCGCCAGTACCTCATCCTCGAGATCACAGTCATGGCGGCCAAGATCGCGTACGAGAACGCCGCCTTCGTCAAGAACGTGGTCAACAACGTGTGGAAGGTAACTAAAATTACACACATAAAATGATCAACAAAATTCTTTTCCTAAAAATATACTTACTCTACGTGCAGCAACGTAACTGCATACATTCTGATTATTAAAGGAAAAAACATTTAGAGACAAGTGAAATACAAGTGGACAGATCAAATGATCTAATGCGTTTTTCGAAGAAAAAAATGATCTAATGCGTACAAGTTGGACTATATGTATGCATGAGAACAGGACGGCAGCTAACACTGCTCAACGGTAGCAAGGACATCAATCATTTTGGGACAAACATATACACATGCGGGGCTTTAATTTTTCTATGCCAATCTGCATGCATGAATCGATGCGCGGAGACAAGTGTCTGTACAAAAATATATAGACATGTGGTTATTTTAGATCTGTTTTCCTATTGTGCAAAGTTATCATAGATCTGCTGACTCGTGCACAACTATGCACGGCCCCCAACGTCGGTGAATACAGGATGGATTTTCACGTAGCACATATAATTGTTTTCTAAAATGCTAAATTAACTGGAGATTGGATTACTAACTACCCCCAACCACCCCACCAAACCAAATCCCACACCAAGAAAATTTCACTGTGACTGCCCTGAATTTCACCGTAGGCCTCCACTGATATACGTGGACAAACTAGTAGAGATTTTCTTTCCCAACTGCATAATAATATTTCCTTCTAAGCCATGTAATCTTACATGTATATTAGCAGACATTTTAAAGAAGTTCGAATGATAACCAAGGAGCATTATATTTATATATCTAATTAGTAAGCTAATATATGTGCGCGGTAATTTGCAGTTCAATTTCGTGGGGTTCTACAACGGCTGGAACAGTAAGTATCAAAGCTAGCACGAATTAATCAAGAGATCGAGATGGTTAAACTACTTGGATCACCGAGAGAATTGCTAGTATTAATCTGTACGTATCTGCAGAGTTTCTCAAGGAGGACACGACACAGGCGTTCGTTTTCACAGATCGGGCCAAGGATGCGAGCGTGGTCGTGGTGGCGTTCCGTGGCACGGAGCCATTCAACATGCAGGACTGGTCGACAGACGTGAACCTGTCATGGCTGGGCATGGGCGCCATGGGCCACGTCCACGCCGGCTTCCTCAAGGCGTTGGGTCTCCAGGAGGAGGACGGCAAGGACACCAACCGCGCCTTCCCCAAGGACGCCCCCAACGGCGCCGCCCCCATCGGCAAGCACATCGCCTACTACAAGCTCCGCGAGGTGATCCGCGACCAGCTCAAGGCGCACCCGCAGGCGCGGCTCGTCATCACCGGCCACAGCCTGGGCGGCGCGCTCGCCGCCGTCTTCCCGGCGCTGCTGGCGCTGCACGGGGAGACGGAGATCCTGGGCAGGCTCGGCACCGTGCAGACCTACGGGCAGCCGCGCGTGGGCGACGCCACCTTCGTCAGCTTCTTCCGGGCCGAGGTGGAGAAGGCGACGGCCTTCTACCGCGTGGTGTACCGCTACGACGTGGTGCCGCGGGTGCCGTTCGACGCGCCGCCCGTGGCGGAGTTCACCCACGGCGGCTCCTGCGTGTACTACGACGGGTGGTACGACGGGAAGGTGCTCCCCGGCGACGCGCCCAACCCCAACTACTTCGACCCGCGATACCTGCTGTCCATGTACGGCAACGCGCTGGGGGACCTGCTCAAGGGGGCCTTCCTCTGGACGAGGGCCGGCAAGGACTACCGCGAGGGCCCCGTCTCCCTGCTCTACCGCGCCTCCGGCCTGCTCGTCCCCGGCCTCGCCTCCCACAGCCCGCGCGACTACGTCAACGCCGTCCGCCTCGGCCGTATCGCGCCCAAGTCACTCCTCTAAAAGTCTAACTCAGACCCACTGTGTGTGTACGACCACAAGAGAGAGAATTGGTGATGAATAAGTTGTTGTTTCGGTTGTGTCGTGTCGTGTCGTGTCGTATCGTGTGTGTGCTATATTAAGCCTAGTACGCTTACGTGTTCCCCTGTGTGCATGCCTGCCGCTCTGTCTCGGCAATAAATCGATCCAAGGCCTTTATGAATATAATGCAATTGAAGGAGCTACTAGTTGTGGTAATTACTTTCATCAATCAACCGTATAATTTGTCTTCAAGTGTTTCTCCTCATCATCACATAAAATTAATTTGGGTTTTTATCATTTATATGCCACCGGTTGTGTCTCACTATTCAGTTTTGCCACTAGGAATTTCAACCGCTCAAAAATGTCATCGCTTCGTTAGACACATGCTCAAAAATGTCACTATAGACACCACTATTATGATCTCAAATCTCTTTTGCCATGTTATAATGACATAAATACCTATGGACCAACATGCTAGCTCTCCCTCTACTATCTCACTACAATAAAGTGTGAGGCCTACTTGATCCCAACATCGTTCTTATTTTTCTGTCAAATTATTCGTTTGGTTACTCCTGACAAGTGGGTCCACACTTATCATTGTGAGATAGATAGAATTGATATGTGTGTCTAGGCTTATTTTTGTCATATAACATGGTCAACAGGTTTGACGTGAAAATAACAATGTCTAATGGCATTTTTGAGCAAACATCTAACCGAACTATGTCAATTTTTAGATATCTAATGATATTTTTGAGCAAACATCTCACAGGTCAATGGCATTTTTGAGTAATTGTGACTTTTAATGGCAAAAGTGAGTAGAGAGACACAACTAGTGACATAAATATATACACTGTTGTATTTTTTTCTAGAAGCACAGTACATAAATATATGCTCACATACCCTTGCTCCTATGAACACACACGTCACCCTACTCTTATAAACACATCCAAAATACATTGACATATGTGATTTGATATCAGGTGAACTGAAGATAGAATCATGCACTCATCGAAGAGGACGAAACAGAGCCATCCATGAACATGTAGTATCAATTATCAATCGATGTGCAGTTGCCAGTCGGATACGACCGATCTCATGCACTATCCCTGTCCTGATCCCCCGATCATGCATATCTTGCTACGTGCACCGTATAGGTCGCGCGCCAAATTGCATTGGTATTGACGACAATATATGTATGCACGTATGTACGTGTATGATAACCCTTTAGAATGTACTTCCTCCATCCTATAATATAAAAACGTTTTTAAAACTAATGTAGTGTCAAAAACGCTCTTATATTATTAGACGGAGGGAGTAATATGTAGCAACTCATCGTCGTTACGAGCATGGTCATATCTAGCACGTCACTGAGTTTTATTTTTTGAACACGGCACAGACACAAACACACGTATAAATGTGCATACATTCATTTTTATAAATGCATGCATGCATATTCTACTTCGATAAGCATGTGATAATTAGTAAGAGAGGCCAAAGACTACAATTGTTACTGATATTTAAAGGATCAATACTGTAGCATGTCACTCTGGAGTACACTATGCTTTGGGGGTTGAATGGATGATTATCAACAATATTTATCCCTACCCGCAAAAAACCCATTTATCCCTCCATCTAAGTCTACTAAGCCCCGCTTGGAAATCTCCGCTACCAAGGAAAAGAGGTGTGCTTTGGAGAAGCTTTCTATTTTTCTTTTGGCGGTTTTGCTAAACGTTAGGTGCCTGGAATTTTTTATGGTGCCGCATTAGTCACTTTTTGCAAGCCGTAGCGCGAGGCCGAAGGCGAGGACCGCATGAGAAGCGCGGCCAATGAGCATTGCCGAAGGCATGCCATCGGTGGATATAGATGGAAGACGGTTACGATTTCTTCAAGAGTATGTCTATAATTTCTTATCCTTGCTTGAAAGCTCTTGTAAGGGTTGGTTTTATCTAACATGTATATTGATAGACCTTTCAGCAAAAAAATAACCCAACATATAACTAGAATTTAAGCACCTCGTAAATTAAAGCCGAACCTTAATTGTTAAAAGTGGTCTATGAAATAATTCTTCATAAAACAGAGTGCAAAAGAGAGAATTGCCTTGCCCACCACTCTACGGCCCTAAGTTGAGGACCTACAATTCCAGGATAGATTGAATAAATGAAACAAAAATGTAAAGTACTTTCTTTTGCGGGGAGTAAAAGTACTTAGTTATACGGATTGATATTCTTGGATATAATATTAAACTGTCACATGCATATAATAATTAAAATGCTTAAACCTTAATCGTCGCAATCTGTTGGAAAGAGGGTTAGATTTTAGGGAAAGCGAATAAATTTAGGTGTTTCTAGGTGAATGGACATTTTTTTTGGCTCTTTCTTAGGTGAATGAAAACCAAATGGTTTTTTTTTTGTTGAGAATCAGATAAAAATTGGGTTTTTTTCTTAGGAAACGGCAAAAATACCCATGATTCCTACTTAACGTTTATGCGCCAGTTCCTATTATTTTTGCAACTAACGCACACCCTCCGTTCGACCTTCGGCTCGACCCATTAAACTTTTTTTCTCATTCACGCCATACATTAGCATCATTCTCTTTCCCCTACCCGTTTGGAGAACCATTTAGAAGGTTCCACAGGGTGTTTCCTGGTTTTTTTCCAGTGTTTGTTTTTCTCAATAAGTTTTTTTTCATTTTTGTTTTCTCTAAATTGCCAAGCTGTTTTCAAATTTGTGAGATTTTTCCAAAGTTTTCGATCAGTTTTCAAATTCAATATTTTTTTCAAATTTATGAACATTTTTCAAAATCACAATAATTTTTAAAATTTCTGATTTTTTAAAATTCATGAATTTGTTTTGAATTCCATTTTTTCAAAATTATGATCTTTATTCAAAACATTAATTTTTTTCAAATTCACGAGCAATTTTCAAACTCATGATCTTTTTTCAAAATTATGAACCTTTTCCCAATTCTCGAACATTTTTCAAATTCATGAAGTTTTATAAACTACAAACTTCTCTCAAATTAATGACCTTTTAAAATTCAAAAAATATTTTTCATCAATAAGAAAACATCTGAATAAAAAACCAGTGGACCAATACACGTGTATATATCACAGAGCTAGTTGTAAGTGCATAAGTAATATAGCTAGCGGTCAAAGCTAATAGGCTGCGGGCCGTGTAGAGATCATGCGAGCGCCAATGCGTTCTGGAGCGGGGGCCGTATGTCTCGCTTATACCGGGAAGAAGGGAAGCCTGAAGTCACTAATTGAGGAGGACACCTTTCAAAGATCACTTCCACCTCAGCGGGTTGCGACAAGTGGCGCTGCATGTGCACCACTGGTCGCAACCTAGGAGTTTTCTCTTTTTGCAAGACCTGTTTATTTAAAACGTCTTATCTCTTAAACCGTGCGTCCAAATCTTAAACCGTTTTTACCGTTGGATTCCTCGCGTCGAGATCTTCAAAACTAGATCCCATGTTGATAGGTTTTCACAAACTATTTTCCTGAAAAAAACCAAACGAAAAAACCGAACAAAAGAATCGTGCCTCTCATGGAAAGAAAAAATAATAAAAACATGTTTTTTTTATTTCCGAGAGGCACGGTCGTGTCTCTCAGGTAAGCAAAACCGTGCCTCTCGTGGAAGAAAAAAAAGAAAAAAAAATCATTCATGCCTCTCGCAGAAGCAAAACCGTGCCTCTCACGAAAAAAAACGTGTTTTTTGTTTTTGAAAAGCGTGCCTCTCGCGGAAGCAAAACCATGCCTCTCGCGAAAACAAAACCGTGCCTCCAGCAGAAGGAAAAAATATGTTTTTTTATTCCGAGAGGCACGACCATGTTTCTTGCCAAAGCAAATCCGTGCTTCTCGTGGAAACAAAATCGTACATCTTGTGGAAGCAAAAAAACATGTTTATTTGTGCCAAAAAAAGTTAGATTTTTTTCAAAAGCTAAGTAAGACCGGTGGAAAGCCAAAAGGCCAAACAAACCGAAAAATGTCTAAAAAGCCGAAAACGCATGCGAAAGAAAAACAAAATCCGAAGGGACCGCCCAGAGAGCGACACGTGGCGGCGGTTGAGAGCACGCCAGGTGGCACGCTCGCAGCCCACCCCCAAGTTATCGCTGGGAGGCTCTCACGGGAATGCTCGTCAAGCAGTTGCTCCCAGGGAAAGGAAGAAGGTTCTTAGAGTTTATGGACAACTGAGTGCTTCTATCGTGAGTCCTGATGGAGTTCCAATGGGGCTTTGGACCTTTAATCAGGCATTAGCACGCCGAGAGCTGATGAGGATGATAGTGTTGCATGAATTGGCATTCTCATTGGTGGAGTATGGTGGATTTAGAAGATTTGTCTCTAGTCTAAATCTCAGCTTCAAGATGATATGTAGAAAAACAGTGAAGGAGGACTGCATGAAAGCATTCAAGGAAGAGAAGAGAATTCTGCAAAGGATGTTCCAAAACTCCAAATCCAAGATTTCTTTGACCACGGACCTGTGGACATCAAATCAGACAGTGGGGTACATTTGCATCATAGCTCACTTCATTGATGGGGAGTGGAAGCAGCAGAAGAGGATAGTTAAATTTGCCGCTATGGAGACGCCGCACACATGAGCTGCAATGTTCAACATCATGGTGAATTTCATAAGAGAGTGGAACATTGGAGATAATCTCTTTGCTGTGATGCTAGACAATGCATCGAATAATGGTGCAATGATGAAGCTATTGAAGGCACATCTCCTGCTTAAGAAGATGTTACCTGGTGGTGGCAAGTTGTTTCACCAATGTTGTGCCGCCCATGTCATAAATCTGACATGTCAAGCAGGATTGAACTTCCTTGGTCCAGTGATCAACATGATACGTGAAACTGTGAAATACATTCGAAGCTCACCAAGTCGAAAGGAAAAATTTCAAGAAATCGTTGAGCAACATGGTGTATCATGTGGGAGAACTCCAAGTCTTGATGTTCCAACTCGCTGGAACTCAACCTACATGATGAT